CCTTCTGGGGAGGTGACTGATCTTACTGCCTGTTCAAGAAGATTTATCACCTATAACTTCAGACAATTAACATTATATCAAATTTATCTTCTTCAGCAGAGTCTGCTTTGAGCCAAGCCAGATGCTTAACACACATCTTCAGCAAAGGCTGGCGTGCAGCACAACTTGTAAAGAACCCCTGCACAAAACCTGGGGACTCTGAAAGCTCTTTTTCAGCCTCAGGATCCCAGTTAAGATTCTAGAGGAGAGCCAGCAAACCCCCAGAACAGTGAGGGAGAGGAGGACAGAGCCCGTTTCTTCATCACCTCAGCTTGCATCATCCGTCCTGTGAACCAGGTGAGTTCATGGGCATTTTCTACCAAGATGGATTTTATACTTTATGCACAAGGGTTTTATTCATAATATCAGCAAAATAAAACTGTCACCAGATCCCAGATGAAAACAATCCGCAAATCACCAAGAATAATTATAGGAACATACTGAATATTTCTTTGATTTACCATTAACTCCAGTAATGAGTCAGACAAGTGTTCTAATTGCATCCATGAATAAGTTGCTCTCTTATAAATGGCTGCAGATCTGCAAGTAAATCACTCTCAGTGTATGGATCCAAATGCAGAGGGAGGATTTTAAAGAGTAAACTACTTCAGCAAAAAGCGACACACGCAGTCGTTGCTGCTCTTCAGCAGCATTAGTAGGGCAGGTACCAAAATACGTGCAACTTTACAGCATTCAAAAGGAACACTACTTCAAATTTAAGGCACCCACAGAAAAGCCAGCCTAATGCAGCAGAATAAAGTTGTTGCAAAACATACCTTTGTTGAACAAAGCCCCACCATCCCAAGCCATGGCCAAACCCTTGTCAGTCTCCTTTCACAGGGATGGAGCAGTTGGTCCCTCTCTCAGGCTGGGATGCCTCCAGCCTCTACACAAAGATGCTCCTGATTTACCTAGGACCAGAAACAACTCAAAATAGGGGCAGTGATATCTAGCCTCAAGGAGGAGGAGAGGAGAAAAGGAGATCAGTCATATCTGATTGAGATCCACCATTCCACGTGGTTGCTGTAGGACTGACCCTTGTCTGGGAAGAGCTCGCGGTCCGTGAGTCAGCGTGCACCAGCCTTGGTGGGGGAAAAGTCTCAGGCACTCTATAAACCATTGAAGTTTCCTGAATCTGTGGGGATGTGCAGAGAACAGCCCTGGCCAGACAAAGCTGCAGCCCCCCCAGAGCCCAGCCTTCCTTCTGGCAGCCCCACCAACACCCCAACCTCTGCCAGGGGTCCCAGGAGCTATGGCCACTTTGGGGAAGGAGACAACAAGCTGGAGCTCCAATCAATTAAACATGCACTTTTGTAATAAAGTCCCTTTCCAAACAATAATGACAAAGTGAAGGGGAAAGGTGGGGAGCACGGGCTGAAGGGCTGTCCCCCTCCAAAACCCAAAGCAGGAAGGAGTGAGGGAGATTCTGTAGAGCCCCATCAGGGCAGAGCCTGTGGTGGGAATCCCAGCTGTCCTCTCCTTCCTTCACCTCCTACATGTTAAGTGGATTTGCCACTAATACTCTTTTAGAGCAAGCCTCAAAGAAGGTCATTTAAAATGCACGACTACAGGGCTCTGCTAGTAGATGCATTTTAAATCTCCACGTTATAGCACAGGCAGCAAACCCCACTTTGCCTCTTTCTTGAGCAGAAGCTGCCATCCATAACCTGCCAGGAACACAAAGGGTGTCCCAGCCACCACCAGCACCAATTACCCCGGGCAGAGGAGGCTGCAAATCAGGATGCAGAGCCAGAGGTGGAGAAGGCAGTGTGTTGGCACCATCCTGCACGTTCAGGTTGCAGTAAAAACTGACATAATTTGGCAGCTGTAATAAAGGGGATTCTCAATTATACCCCAGCCCCTACTGCTTTGCCTTCTCCAGGGGAAATAAACCCAGTTGGAATTTCTAGCACGTAGACTCTTGCAGCATTTCAGTCTCCAACATGCCGTGCAGGTATTTCCAGTATCAGCATCAGCTGTGGTGGCCCCAGACTCTTCCACATTAAAGAGTCCTGGGCAAGGAACCAGATCAAGGAGGGACAAGGAGGAGTGACAATAAGGTTCAGTCTCACCCCTTAGGTGGGAAGTGCCTGGTAAAGCAAGGAGAAAGGCATCAGAGACACTGCACAAGTATTTTAGATATGTGTGCTGCACCATATTCCAGGAGAAAGTCTGCTTTTTTGTTTTCTTAAGGACCAGAAACTCCCTTTGAGAAGCAGGAGAATTCCACATCAAAATTCAATATTGCCAAATGCAAAGGGCTTTTAACTATGGAGTAATATTTTCACTTTGATGACTAATTACCCCCTACAGTCCACAAACCTCTCCCCGTTGCTTCAGTCCGCAGCCGCCGCGGTAGCTGTGAAGCAAACAGCAATTACAAATTTATTCCAACATTAGTGTAAGCCCAGTGGGCTCTGTCAATGCATAACTCCCTGCTGCCTAGCAGCAAATGTAAAGGATAGTCTGAACTGGTACCAGGCTGCTTGCTCTCTGCTGACCTCCGCATCAGCACGGCTGATAAGGATGCAAGACAAAGCTAGACCTAATTAACATACATGAATTTTAACCAGGAAGCCATTCCCATATATTAGAAAATAAGCTCTGGACAGCTCCTGCCCCCTCCACGGCTTATTAGCAGTTTCTCTGGTGAGATAAGGCAGCCTCACAGAAATCCCCCTTGGGGTGGCTGGTGAAGAGGCAGGAGCCCCAGAGCAGCTCTGGGGGTGCACAGCTCCAGGCAGGGGGGCTGCAGAGACACCACCCAGGGTAAATGCTCTTGCTGACCCTGCCTGGTGCTGGCTGGGACTCCTGCACTGCACAGCTGAGGGCTTGGTGACATAAAGAACCACAAAACCCTGTGTGACACAGCCAGGCATCAGGCAAAAGGCACCACCCAGAACCAGATGCTAAGGATCCCCAGCAACCCCTTATGGGGAAAAAGGGATGAGCTGCATCCACAGCAGCAGAAAAGCCAGGCTGCTACTGCCCCAGAGCAGGGTCAGCTCTCATTGCACAGGATACTCCTTTTGGGGAACAAAGTGCAAATTCTTCTCCTTTGCATTAGGAATTAGTTAGCATTTAAGAGCCTTGAGAAAAGGGGAAGGAAAGAATTCAATTGCCCCAACCCCTCGTGTAGCTTTGAAAACTTCCATAGAGTAAAGCATCAGGCTCCAACCAATTCAGAGAGCACGGCTGGAACGTAGAATCATAGAATCATTGAGGTTGGAAGAGACCCTTGGGATCATCGAGTCCAACCATCTCCCCTACTCTACAAAGTCCTCCCCTACACCATGTCCCTCAGCACTGCATCTAAACGGCCCTTAAACACAGCCAGGGATGGGGACTCCACCCCCTCCCTGGGCAGCCTGTTCCAATGCCCGACCACTCTTTCAGTGAAAAATTCTTTCCTAATGTTCAATCTAAACCTGCCCTGTTGGAGCTTGAAGCCGTTCCCTCTTGTTCTATTGTTAATTACCTGTGAGAAGAGACCAGCACCAACCTCTCTACAGTGTCCACATGACGTGGAGAAGGCAGGGACCAGAGAGAGGGGTGAAAGCTGCGCCCAAGGGTCCCTCCTGCAGCCAGAGAGGGCAGGGGCTCCCCCAACAGCAGAGCTCTGCTTGCTTGGAAGCTGCCCCTGATGCACTGCATTGAGAAAAGCTCCTGTTAAGTCACAAAAGCAGAGCAGTTTTAATTACAAATACAGTACTTAGTGATGGCAAAGCCTCAGGCAAACCTGCAGCAAGCGCCAGCCTTCCCTTTGCTTCTTCCCTCACTGCAGTGAGTAGGATGAAAATCATGTGCTGCTGCTGACCGAGGACAGTGTGTAGCAGCCCCCTTCACTAGCTCTTTAACGATGTTTGATTCTGCTACTCATTATCCTCAGGCAACTACTGCAGAAGGCCCAGCATGGCCCAGTCACCTCTTAAACATGCACTCACTCCAGAGGCCTCCTACCCTGGGAAGTGTCATAAACCAAGCAGCTCTCACGTGTGAGTGAACAGGGAGGAAACACAGCTTGATCCTCACGTATAAAATGGCATTTCCAACCCACGCAGTGGCTGTGAAGCTCCAAAAGCTGGGTCTCTGTTACCAAAGCCGGAGCTCAGACTGGGGAAGTCAGCATGGCTTCCATGAGGGAGCCATCTCTGCTCCCCTCAGACTGCCTCCCTCTAGCTGTTTATCCTGTTTCATTTCCCTCAAATCTGAAATGAGATGCAGGTTACTACAGAAGTCCAAAGATGATACTAAATGAAAATGATGATACTAAATGAAAATGGGAGTTTCTACAGATCCAGCCTGTCCCCCTCCAGGGAAGGGCAGTGTCAGCGGTGCCGTTCCTCCACACAATTAGCCAGAGCAAGCTCCCTACCTGCTAGAAAGGACAAGCTTTGTGCCAAGATCTGAGGGACAATTTCTCAGTGGCAGATGCAAAACAGATGCTGGGCCTCTTACTCGCATCTAACAGACAGCATTTACCTGTCCCTGCAGCTATCTTCCGAAATGTAGGTTTAAAAACCCCCAAAAATGCCAACATTCTCCCCCCTCCCCCTGCCACATGTGCTCTAGAGATAAGAGGAGCATCAGTCTGAAGGTGAGGCTGTGCTGAACAGTCTCAATAGTTATGAATTATTGTCACATAAAAGAAAACAGTAATGTATGTCAACTAAGCTAGTGCTTCCAGCACTTACACTACCAGCAGCAACCCCAGTTTAGACCAGCTGCCTCTACTTGGCAACTGCAAGACACCTGATAAGACATTTGTTTCTCAGGTTGATGGAAATTACAATTCTGATTCCAGCTCTGAAATTCTAATTTACATTTTTGACCTCCTCCACTAAGTCTCCAGTCTCCCCATTGCAAGAGGCTGGACTTGAGGTATTTATTTTTTTTTTTTCCCCATACAGACCTCAATGCAGAGACTGACTGATTCACTTAAGAAGAGCTAAACAAATAAGTAAAATGCTTGCCAACGTAATTTTATTTCCTTTGAGCATTCCAATATTTACAAACACACTTTCTATAACTTTCCAAGACAACCTAGCAGCATCTGTACACCAAACAACCCTCTGAACTCAGCTACTTTTTTTTTTTTTTTTAAACAACAGCTTTATGGAAACAGGTTCTCTTTCTGCTCTTTAAGTACAAAATTATTTATGAAGTTGAATTGCTTGGCAACAGAAACAAGCAATGTATTTCCTTCCATAAAAAACAATTATATTTTCTTTGCAGTCTCATTTTGCAGGCAGAGACTATTAGGAAGCAGATTCTTATACGGCTTATTACAGGTCACTGGGATACTAAAGTGCATCTGTTTATTGCCTCTTCACAGGTGCCACAAATGCTTCTCAAAAAAAAAGAACCAAAACACACTGTTATAGGCTGGTGCTTTTAAGGATTGGCTTAAGTTGAGAATCAAGTTTTGGCTTTCCAGGGGCTGCACTTGTGGATGATTTTCCTGGTTAGGGTGAGTTGGCACTTTTGTATACAACAGGAGAGCTGTTTGTATAGTTTAACACAACTACATCCCTGGCCTAAGACTAACCAGGCTGATGCATTAGTAATTACAAAATAATATTCCATTGTATCGGTATACACCCTTATCCAGGGTATGCATTTATGCAAAATGAAAACGTGGAGGTTATTTGGGAGCACAGGTACATTTTAATTCGAGCCCTGAGCCAAATATTACTCTTTTAAATGACTGTCCCCAAAATGTCCTCAAGTATATAAACAGGAACTGGCTGCAATGGTAAATAATACATCACCATTTCTTTGAGGAATGGTTCTACGTTTTCTAACTTTAAAAATTTGTTTTACATTAATTTAAAGGACTCTTTTGAAATTAGAAATGTTAATCTTCAAAGAACAGTGGGTAATTCTGTCTTCATGTGGTAATGCTGTTTAAATAACTTTATTGTTAAAAAAGTAGTTATTTTACCCTGAACAAGAACACCACATGCAGGTAATCTCTGCATGAGTGACTTAATTCTCAGTCCTTAAAATAATTACCAAACTCTCAGCACTGATGAGGCTTTCTGAGCAGTGGAAAGAGAAGCACAGCTGACCCTCAGGACACAAGGTAAGCTCCCAGCTCCTGGCACTGGTAGCAGGCAACGCTGTCCAACACCCACTCTCGAGTCACCATGGCAACGTTGTTCTTTCGCTGGATTGCTGCAAGACAAAGACACAAACGATAAAACTGTTATCAGTGACTCAAAGCAAGCTTAAGGTGAGCTTACTGATGTCTTTCTAAAGCTGTTTGCTTTATCTCTGACATTTTGAAGGCCTTGATAAAAAAAACAAGAGTCTAAAACCAGGGATGTGGCACTATTATTCCTTTTAACAACGCAGATAATATTGCTGCTCCCAAAAGCACAGCTCTTCAGCAAACGGTCAGGCAGGAAGTTATGAACCCCACAGAATAAAGACTAAAAGCAAAGAGTCCTTGATACCTTCTAATTTAGGACCTCAGTGACAGAGCCTCGGTTCCTGCCTGCTCAGGCACACAAGTATGTGACAAGCAATGACTCTCATTAAGAGAAGAAACAGAAAATTACTGAAGTGTTCTTCACCATTTCAGGGTCTTTTCCTTTATCTGCTCATTTTCCCAGTGCCACGGGAACAGCTGTTGTTTTTACATCATCCTCCTGTTCCATCTCTTTGTTGAATTCCACTACAGCCTAACTAGCTCCCATCCACCCGTAACTCCCACTATCTCACTTAAAAGTAAATTAGTCTGGAACACTTGCACTTTCAAAGTCTCATGGTAACACCTTGTAGCCTCAGATGGGACAAGAATATCTGGCTTTCTCCTATATCTTACTTACTGGTCCTCCAAGGGCACGCTTCCCCACCTTTTAGAAACTATCTGCAATCAGAAAAGTTTCTGTAAAGCCCATGATATGCAGGGCAACTGAGCCAAGAATAGGATTTGCCAGACTACCTTTTAAGACTTTACTGCTGATTCTTCAGATAATACACCTTGTCCTTCCAAGGACAAGTCCTTCCTGCTTTTCTTCCAAGACATACCTCCATCTCCAGACGCAGTAGGATTTTATTTCAACTCCTCTACAAACCTCTCTGATATTTAACTATTGAAAGGACTGGGATGATAAAGACACCCAGTGTGTACTATAAAACAGTTCATGACTGTGTGTCGTTTTACCTCTGCAATTCGTGTTTTCCATCCAAGCATCTGGCTGAACAACCACGACAGCAGTAGAATTCTAGGATTTGAAGATAAGAAAATGCTACTGTTATCTGTCTGTCATTAAATCACTCTCACACCTACCTACAGAGAGTGGTCACCAGGCTAACTCTGCTTTGGTCCATCACTTCAGAGAGGACTGTAAGCAGTAGTGGAGGGACAAAGACATCTGTTCCTAAGATTTTTCTCCGATTTCTCTTCAGGAAAGCTAAGGCTCTAAAGGTTTTTTTGTACTAGGAAGTGGGGCTCAGTGCAGATTTCAGGAGAGCTCAGCTGTCTGGCCCACACAGAGCACCTTGACAGCTTTGCAGGCAAGTCAGCCTGTCTTCTCACCCAGAGCAGACCTGCTGCCCTGCAGTTTAGCATCCTTACTGAGCAGACAGTTCTAACACACTCGTCTGCATCAGCCTCTGACAAGCCCATGAAGGCCAGGAAATCCTCCAACATGATGTGCAGCTCCAGACCGTTCACCACGTGAAGCGCAACGCTCGTTAGCACTCACCGCTGTGTGTGTGAAGAGATGAAGCTGCTTCACCACAGAGGCACCACAAAGCTCCACCATCCATTCCAGGTGTTCTGAAGAAATCAGATAAAACAGTGTATTACTTCAATATTTTATCTCTATTTAAACTGATACTGTTCCCTGAGGAACAGTCACTCGCTCTTCCCTCACGCTCTGGTCAGGGCTAATCAAAACACAACACAAAGCCCTGAAAAGGCAAAACAGCACATACCCAAAACTTGAAGAAAAAGTCACTAACAATTTATTTCCTCTTATCATAAGGAGGTAAGACACGAAATGAAAATTAAAAATCAGAACTGTGATTATCTCTCATTAAAAGAGTAGCCAAAGTATTTAATTCCCACCAATTTGCTGAATTGATAGTGAAGAAGATAAACAAGTCTCTCAAGTACAAGAGCCATAATTGATGATCACTGCAGCAGGTGAAAGCACTGCATCCTCTGTGGTAATTACTGTTAATGTCAAGAGATGTGAGGGTATTTCACCCAGTCAAAAATAGTTATATTGGACAAATCAGAAAGTACCTGCTGAATAAGACATGAAAATGGAATGAGAGGTACAAATATTTTAAGTAGAAAAGTTCTAGCTTAAATTTTCAAAACACCTACTATACTTTATTCAATTTTAAACTAGCAAAAAGAAGGTATCCTGCCCAGCTTTTTCTTTGTGTATAAACTTCTGCCTTTGTTGTGTGTTTCATTTTTAACATCTGCTGCTAGAGAGAGAAAATTACACTGAGGATGTGTAACTGCTGGAAAAATGATACTTGGGAACTGTTTACTAAGACAGAAGAAAAAATACTCAAATACAAGTGTTCAATAGCACCTAAAACAACTACCAGAAAGCAAGATATTAATACTTTTCCTTCATGGGTAGAGGATCTGAGATAAACTAGATAAAAAGGTTTCTTTTGACACAGAGCAAAATTGCCATAGCAGTTCCTGTTCTCTCTGAAGATAGAACCAGATAAGTTCTTTACCTACATTATACCTCACATAGGTATTCTGAAAGTTTCAGAGTAAAAGAGGTACAAGAGTATCCTAGAAGAGGCCAAATGTACAACTAGTGAATACACACAAGCTCCCTCAAAATATTTTCTGTGCTAAGAGTTCATTTAATGGCATTAGAATGACACACCTGTAGTCATATCAGTGAAAGGTCCATAGCAACAGATCTCAAAGCCTTTAAAGATCTGAAAAACAAGGAACGTGTTAACAGAGCACATATGGTATCTTTAAGGACACTGGTCTCACTGCACTCCTAGGACTGGTTATCAAGCTATCACTGTTTCACAAAGTGTATCTGAAGCTCTTTGAAACCCACAAAACAAAAGAATATCAGCAAAACCCCCCAGCCCTGCGTTATCTCATCCTGATGGTATAAAAAAGATAGCATTCACTCTAGGCATAGCGAGCACATCTGCTCTGCTGCTGGCAGAGCTCACTTTTCATGTATAAAAACACTTAATTTGCTGTTCTGTATACAGAGTTGTACAGAGAAATGGGAAGAAGCTCCATATATCCAGCTAGCACAACTGTAATGCCTGCAACAGTCCCAGCAGGACAAGATTTTCATCCCTGACATACTCATACCTTTTCAGTCAGAGACTGCCTAGCCCTCTTAGGACCTTGGTGGTTTCTCCCATTGATTACATCTCCTCGAACTTCAAAGTTCTCCTGGAACACAGCACAAACAAGCAATCAGAAGTTGGAGACTGAACACTCTCCTGGTCAGAGGTCTACATCAGAACAACAAGTAGTTCCGGAAGAACTGGAAATCTTACAATTAAATGTGTGTCAATAATTAATTGAAAGGCTTTTCAAGAAAAATGGTGAGAAGCAGTAATGAAACCCCTGCAGCATCAGAGAGTTTTTAAGAAACAAAACTATAGTCAAACTGTATAGTCTAGCAAACTGCATAAAAGAAGGGGCACGCTCCAAGGCTATAATTAACTTACCAGTAGTCTCATTTGATAGAAAATAATTATCAATACATAGTGGTTTTCATTATAACTGGAGACTCTTCTTCATGCTTAAAGCAATGTGAGAGCACATGATAATGTTAACAGCAGTTCCATGTTCTAGCATTCCCAGTCAATGCTGTAGCAGCTTCCTCCTGTCACCCCAGTACAGGAGGGTCTGTCACCCCCTTTTCCTGGTACCTTGTTGGGGCCAAGATTTTCCGTCTTCATCCTTGTCTTAGCAAAGAGGCATATGGATTTCATACCAAAAAGTGGGCAGTTCCCCTCATTAGATGTATGAAATCCATGCTGTGTCACTAATATGACGTTCTCCAAAAATCTCTACTAGAGAATGAAATTCCAACTACTACCCAGGAACACAAAAATCCACCTATGTCAGGCTCATCTCAAATAAGCCATTTCTACGAGGAAAGGTAGTAAATGCTGGAACGAGTTTTCAGTAGTTGGCTATTCTAAAGTTTAAAATACAAAACAAAACTATATATATAGATAAGTTCCAACATTATTTCCTTAAGCAAACAATAGATAGTTTCCTCTATGCTGTGATCCATCAATATTAGTAGGAACACTGATAAAAAAACATGCCTATAGCCTGTTCCAAAAAACAACAGGGACCCATTATGCCTTAAATACCAATGAATATATATAGCCTACACGTGGCTTTTGGTCCTTGCCTTTGGCAAAACTAGAATCCCAGTTTCCAGAGCCAAATCTCTGTCTATTAAATGGTCAGAGGATATCTGAGGCTACTAATAGGTCTCTTAATATAACGACATTGATTACGCATTCGACATTTCACTCTGAAGATAAAAGACCTACCTCATCCAGTATCCTTCCTTCCTTAAAAGACTGAATTACCCCTAAATAAAAAGAGTAGAACAGGACAAGTCATTTTATTCAGCAAAAATGTTCTTCCACTGCCAATACTCTGACTCCACTGCTATATTAAACTGAAGGTAATTGCTATATTAAACTGAAGGTATTTGTACTACAGGAAACTGAACACTGTATGATGCCTGAAAGACCTTAAACTTTTTGCACTAACTGATGTATGTGTCTCAAATACTTAAAATAAGAGGGAAGAAAGATTTTGGTCAGGGTGGGGAGAAATCCAATGTAATTATTTGAAAGCATGGAAATATTCAGAAAAGAAAGAAGCTTGATGCTGCTGTTTGTTTGGGTTTATAAAATAATATTATTTATTTAAAAGTATTTAGAAGAAACTCTGCAAAACATCAGATACCAAGACATGAAGAGATCCTTTTTTTTTTTCTTCCCTAGAACAAGCAAGGAGTACATTTGTGGTAGAAAGGCAGAGACCACTGAGGTCCAAAACAAGTTATACTTACACTGATAACTAACTACCCATTTTCTTCCTGCAATACCCAGAAAGTACTTCAGTGTCCGTTCACACACGAGCTCCTTATCTGCAGAGCAAACAAGAATAATATCTCTTTCAGTTTTGCCATTAGTGAAAAAAAAAACCAGCTCAGGTTTTTTGTACCTAAAAGCAAAAGTTGTTTGCCAAGTGCAGCAGCAAAATATCAAGACCATTTATAGAAAGGTTCCAAAATTCTAACGTCCTGATTCTACTAAATTGAAGGAAATGAGAAGAAACTAATCAGATGTACAACTTCCAGACCCTTTTTTAGCTATTCAGTAAAGACAAGAGGCCAGAGAATACAAGTCAAGACAGAGGACACTTGAAGTAGGATTCTGTGCCCAATGTTGGCATAAACTTTTGATGACTGGCCATTTGAGGTCATCTTCTGCTCCACCAGAACAGGCACCACTTCAGAAGGCAGTTTATCCCATCTGTATTTGTATGAAGACCAAACACTCTACCTCTCCCAAAACCTATGGTTAATAATGGGGTTCTTGAGCTCTACCAAAGAGCAAAAACTAATTTAGTTACCTTAATTAAGCATGCAAATTATAGTTATGAAATAGCAGTGCTGCTTTATTCATAAAGAAGCACGCCTTAACTCTATGTTGGTAGTTGACTGTGAAGTCCCACTTCCAGTTTTCTATTAAAGGTAAATATCTTTCAAAAATTTAGAATGAAACAGCATTTATCTCTGCAAGGAAATGGGAACACAAAACAGCATCTTATTTTCAGCATGTCCGTATCCCATTGTTTTAGGAACTCTCTTGCTTTTTTTGTTTGGTTCTAAACTACTTCAGATTAACATGCTGTAAGCACCTGGAAATGGTGACCAAACAGCTGGGGAAAAAAAATTAAGCCACATTAACTTCAAATCACACAAGGAAACATACCCTCACTCTAATTCTGTGAAATAGAATAATAAATATTCCCAAGTTTAAACAAAAAAATTATGATAGCGAAGAACACAATTCTTATCTTCTTTTCAAACTTAATCAAATTTATTGCTGAACTCTGCTTACTGGTCAGCATAGAGGTGAAGATCTATATGGTGTGTGAGCATATAGATAGCATAGGATATGTTCACAAAGCTCCCAACAAACCTGTTTTCATTATGACATGGGTTGTCTCCTCAGTAACGCGATTAGATAAAGTGCTGTGAGTTTTTCTCGCAAACTTCTGGACCACCAACTGAAAAGTAGTTAAGAAAATTAATAGGTAGCAAAACATTAAAAACCAACAACTCCAGTTTACAGGAGTATAACATAATAAGATAGTTACTTTAAAGTAATCGTTAAATTTGTGTTGGCACAGGATGCACAGTTCCCTAAAAGTGAGTAATTTTGGCACTATTCAATAGGCTAAAGAGCTCTTGGTCAGCAGTTTATAACCCAAAAGCCATATCCTCCTGGAAATGGATTGTAGAAACAGATTTATTAGCAATTCAGAATAGATTAATTACAGAAATCCTCACTATGGACTAGAACTTGGGTAAAACAGCAGCATCTGAGAACATTAAGGGAACCAACCAACCAGTCCCCTCCCCTCCAAGCCACAAGGTTTTCTAGAAATAAAGTCCTCTTTGGAATAATGTGTTTTTCCCCCTAGATAGTAGGCACCCACTTAAAAAGCTCTAAGTTCACTAAGTGTAACAGTGCTTTTTGCAGGCAACATTCTTAGGATTTTTAAGAATGAAAAAGTGTGACTTGGGTTGCTGTGTTAATAATCTGCAATTCCTGTAGGATTAGTTCCATTGTACTTTGATCCATGCTGAGGACTGTAGTCGTAATCAGGAACAATTAACAAGCGACCTCTAAATCTTCTGAAATACACTCACATGTTCACTTTGGTTGAGACCCGATGCCACGATTGACATTTCTTTCCTGTTAGTCACAACTGGACTGGTAGAGTTTTCTTTCCCAGCTGCATTGTGGGGAGCAGATATGGGAAAAGAGACATTTCTCCTCGATGTACGTTCCTGAGCGCAGCTTCTCTCAGCGCTCTGAGCTGCACCAGGACGATTCGCTGCTGCTGCTGCAGTTGGAGGGTTAAGAAGCCTTACAAAGGAGGAATTGTTATTTGGACTCCTGGTCACATTTCCAGAGAGATTTGATAAGACAGATGCACTGTTTACCCTGGTCCCAGATTTCTGCTCATCTGCATTTTCTGAAGGAAAAGAAAAATTACGCTTTGAAACAATTTCATCCTTCTTGCCGTCAGGGTGGAAAGCTTTTAAGTTTAAAAGCTGCAGTCACTTCCTCTATTTATTACTCTACTTTTGCCTCTATCATTACTTTTTCCTGATCAATAGCTGAGACACTAGAACACCTGTGAAACTGTTGGTGTGTATCTGCCAAGAAGTACCAATTTATACGTGAGACAGATAATAACTCCCATTGCTGTCAAAATGCCAAATCCCAGTCGTGATGGACTAACCAAACAAAACCAGCCAAACAAGGAGTAACATCTTGTTAAATTAATCAGGAATATATAAATTAAAACTCTTGATTTACAACAAGAAGCTGTATTTTGCTGATATGTGAAAATATGAAAAAAGCAGGAAAAGAGCAGAAATAAGATTGTGTTGGATCCCTCTAATTACCTGCTTCAAGTTGACACTGACTATATCCTTGCACTGCTTCCTGCACAGGGGGTGTCTTTTCAGAAGGAGCTTTGCTCTTCAGAACTTTGTCACTCTGCAAACCTTTCTCCGAATCTGGTCTCTTCTTTAACAAACTGGATTTAGAAGATGGAAGCAACAATTCTGGAGACCTTGAGAGATGGAAATTGGTTTTAATACCTTTTTTTACTCTTCTAAATATTAGAACCGTGTAGAAACAGCTAAGATATTGTCATTGCTCAAAACCTGAGAGGCATTTATTTCAAGATTTTTAGGGGGATTTTTTCCTTTTTTTTTTTTAAATATAAGATTAGAAATAAACGTTAAAAAAAAACAAACCAAAAACATTTACCTTTCTTTTTCTAACTCTTTGATTTTACTGTTGAGACAATCACTTGCTGTAATGTTGGATGAAAATCCCTTTGAACTTCTGCGTTTACGATTCTCAAAATCTCCTTCAGAGGTTGGCTCTGCCCCTTTAAAAAAGAAAAACAGTTCTTAAACAAGCGAAATAAAAGCAACTGTTCTTAGTTGTTTCTTCAGGTAAGAAGTCAAACATCTGGATCCAGATACACTTTAGAGAGGGAAGTGTCCCAAAACAGAAACCTACACAAAACACTAAGCCGTTTGAAGCATGGCTGACAACCACATTTTATCTTACATATTAAATCATCTATAAAATGTGTTTGTTTTACACCCCACGGTGGGCACCCCCCTGTCCCGTGCACAGGGTGTTGCTGCTGGCAGCCAGGACACATCTCACCTCTTCCTGTCTCCTTCCTCAATAGGATAAAATACAGTTTCTGCCACAACAACCAAGGCCAAGTCCCAAAGGGTGTTCAGCCACACTCCCAGTGACAGAAAATGGGTACAACAAGAGCTGACAGCACAGCAAGGTGAGGTACTGCCACACCACGAGGCCACTCACTACAACTACTTTGTTCCATCTCACACAGACCTGTAACTGGAGCTTTTTTTAGACTAAGCATAGTACCCAAGTTATGAATAAAACACATGTCTCACTGAACAGCTGAATTTAGGTAAAATTCTGCTAGTGTATCAATAGTAAATGAACACTATAATTTGTGGTAGAGGGCAAAAAGTAGTAGTAATAGTCACACAAGTCTTTGTGAGAAAGCTGAGAAAGGTTTTCATTACTATTTACCTCTTTCTTGTCTCATTTGTTCCATCCCAAGTGTTCCTTCACTACTGGAATGTGGCACTTTCCTATGGACAGGTAGAAATTCCTGACTTCCGTGCTGCTTTAGCACTGCTTCAAGCACAGCCATTTCTTGCTGCAGTTTTTTTAGGTTATTTTGCATAGCATTCTTCTGCTGAAAGGATACACAATTACGTCAACATTAGCAAAGTCAGTTTTAAGAAGTAAGATTAATTTCTTTAACAAACACCAGAGTTTAATTGGAAAAAAAGAACAACTGCATACATTTCTTTAAAAGTCATTTTGCTCCAACTGCATTAGCCACTTAATTTAAAAATTAATACTGATCATCACATATTAAACTTCCACGCTTTCCACCATTACTGAAAGCCCCAAAAACTGTTTAAAAGGAAAAAAAATATTTCATCCTATTCGTCTTTACTTTCTCTCTCAAAAATACCCTCTATTACAAACATGCCATGTATACCTTCATAAGAAGAGCTCAGGGCTTCAAAGGATCATTTTAAAAACCAGAAGCTTCACCACCCAGGATAAAGCCCTCTCTGCAGCACCGAGTGCTACATTTGTAGCTCTAGCACTGGCACCATGTGGAACTTCCTTGTTACTAAAGCAATAAAAAAAAAAATCCCAACCAAACAGAAAAGTGCCACCACACAACAAATAAAAAACTCCCCACCCAGCCATGCTGTCACAATTCCACTCAACCCAGGCACATCCCAGAACCTCTGCCCATGAAGCTATGCCAGGGAGTGATGTCCTGCCAGCTGACCACGCTCTGCACCCACACAGTGAGCAGAAGAACCACCCATAAAGCACAGAAATGACATTCAGTCATCTTTGATGTACAGGAAAACCCAGAGGGCTGTTAATGCTGAAGAGAGATTTGCCCTGTCTTGAAGTTACAGAGGACAAGAAAACCCCCACCCACCAAACAAGACAACAAAACCCCCCAAACAACCAGAAGTCCCCCCAACTAATCACTCAATACATAATGTCAGGCCATTAAGCAGTAGCCAGGGAATTAATAGTAGAGAAAACATACTGCACAAGACACACCTTTAATTGGACACTGCCTGTTAGGTCTTAGATCTATAATATTCTAATATGGAATGATTTGATTTAATCTTTACCCTTAGAAGGGAAGTCTGAAGTGCTTCTAAATATCATAACGTAGCAAATCCAATCCTTACCACCAATCACTATAAATGCCTATCAAGGAAGGTTTTAAAAACAAGAAGCTGAGGTTTCCAGCATTGGTCAAGTGTGGGGATTCATTAACTAGCCTCTCCCACAATTAAGCACTGTAATCAATACTGCGTAATGAGTTCCACCTTTAGAATGTAATGTTTCCATGGAAGGCAAAGTTGGACAAGTAATGTCATAGAAGCAGTTCGTTCTACAATTCTTCATTAATTATGCTCTTGGAAGTAATGTAGCAACACAAAGAATTATGATGAAAGCAGTTTCTCACTACACTGACTTCACAGCTTTCATATACTTGCCTATTGAATGCAAACTACTTTTAGAATTCAGTGCATAAACTCAGGTACCTGTGTAGAAAGGATTTCACCCTGAGAGAACGGGCCACATGAATCTTCTACGTTACTGGTTTCACTGTCACAACCAGATGCTTCACCTTGAAGGTGGAAGAAAAGCCAAGTTATTTAAAGAAAAAAAACCAAACCAACAAACGTTATCCATAATCTCTTACCACACAGACCTTTTAGCCAACTGTTAACTATAATAAAGTGACAAGTTTTGAAAACACCGAAGTTAGAGGCACAGAATATTTTGAAGAATACCATGTCACACACACAGCAAAGTAAATAGAGCTCAAAGTGTTCCAATAGTGATGAAAGAGTCCTAAATATTTATGAAAGCCATAAAGAGGCCAAAATAAGCACTACAGCCAATTTAAATAAACATTTCATCTGGGAAACAGCTTTGAGATTTGCTGACAGATGCACAAATCACACTGCAGTAAGAAAGCTGGCATTTCACTCAAGAATTAATGTCCATCAGTCACAGTCCAGCCTCTACTGCCCAGTGTGCTCAGCTTTACTCTGAACAACGAATACCAGGAGAAATTACTTTTCAGGAAATTATCCACTGAGGGTTTTTTGTTTGATTGTTTAGGGCCAATAACATTCCTTTGAAAGAGCAAGCACCACAAACAGAAAGCCAAGCTCCCAGGCAGACACCAAAAGCCTAAGTGCAAGGACATTACAAACACAGCTGCAGAGAGGAAAAATTGTGGTTTGTACCTAGGTTGGCTCCCACATGCAGGTCTTCTTGGCAGTCATCTTTGAAGTTAGTTTTGCTTCTTTTCAGCCCTCCATCACAACTTCGACAAGTTTCTTTACTCTCGTTCACATTGCTCACTTGTTTTTTGGGTGTATGAACTTGTATTAGAGGTTTCTTCAGCTCTTGTGCCCCATCAACTGATTCTTCAGACACATTGGACTGGGAAGAAAATAAGTTGACGGAACATTCCGAGTCCTGGCTTGGTGAAACACACCCACTGCTCAGAGCAGCTTCAGGCACTTCCTGCATGTTATTGTCATTGTGACTTTCATTGTGAGGCAACGTGACAGGGCTTCCTGAAGGCTCTGCCACATCTATCCCTTGTTTATTGATCTGCAAAGGTGTGCTTACTGATTTGCCAAATATTAAAGTTTGAAAACATGGTAAATCTTCATCCTCGCTAGATTCTTCCTCTGAAGATTGCAATTTCCGTGCTCTTCTTCGAGGTCTTTGAATGCCCCTTGGCTTAGAACTAACATTTCTATTGTGTGGTTTTTTGACCAGGGCATCATCACTTCTCTTCACAAACACTGCAGACCTCTCTCTCCTGTCAGTGTCAGAAAAGCTGTTGTTCTCTTCAATCTCATCCTCATAGCACAATAAGCCATCGGGGGTTTCAGACAAACCTGTAAAATCACTGTTCCCTTTCAGAGGTTGCTCTAGAGCCTCTGTGACCAAACACTGGGGCACCCCTGTACTAGCAGTTTGGGTTGTTTGCTCCTCATTCCCATTTACTTCTTTTCTTTCTCTTTTGCTCCTTTTTTCCCCAGTGGCTTCACAGCTGAGTTCAGCAGGCCTTTGCTGACAAGCTGCAGGAGAAATCATTGATCTGGACTGAAAATGTAGTATTGGTCCTTCGCTGTCAACTTCTTTGGCCTTTCCTGCTTGATTGCTTTCTGAACTGAAGCGTATTTCATCAACTGTGTTTAAATCAGTTCTTTTGAAAATGTGCTCTTCTGTATCACTCTGATCACTTTGGCTTCTATTACTTTTGATTGGATTCTGTCCCAACTCACTTTCTACCCCTATGTCAGTTGAATCTGTCTCTTCATCTCCCTGCTCTCCTTTTTGTGATCCGTTTTTGCCCTCAGTCCCAGCAGCACCAATTCTTATTGGGGTCAGATTCCCTTGATTTGAAACATCTTCCTGGTGTTCCCCTGTGTGCACACACTCGGTGCTGCTCTCAACACAAGTCACAGGACTAACACAAGCAGATTCAGAGCTCCTAAGCTCCTCTTTCTCACAAACCCTACTCAAGCTTTCAGCTGTTGTTTTCTTTTCTTGCAAGGTTTCTCTTTCTAAACATTTGTTATGCTTATTTTTTACCTGATCAGTACATGGTATCTTTAAAGTTTCAGAAGAGGCACCTTCAACTGCAGAGGCCTTCGTGGCAGTAGGATAGAGTCTAAATGACTGGCGTTTTGAATGCCTAAATATATTTCGCAGATCCTGGGTGTCTAACTCACTGTCTTCAGCTTCCTTGGTCAATTCCAAAACATTTTTAGCCATTGGCAACTCTTCAGTTCCAAAGTCCCCTGGAACATTTTGTCTATCGTGTCCACTGTCCTGGGGAAAAGCAGGACCTGGTTCAGGCCTCTCTCCAGCCAGGTGGGAAGCAGTTTGCACAACAGTCCCTGAAGAAGACTGCAGGAGGGAACAGCTCCCAAGTATTTCACCTTCTTGAGAACCTGTATCAGGTGCAAAGGAAGTACAGTTTGAATGCTGACATGAGGATGTAGGATTGAAGAGACTTTTTCTGTTTTCTGCAGCGTCTGATGAATTCTTCAGACTAATCTGTATTTCATCTGCTTCCAGATCCCCACCCTTCAGATTAGCGAGTGGTTTGTAGCTCAGTGTACCCTGGGGCTCACACAGGTCCCTGCATTCAGAAGCGTGAACTAACACATTTCTTTGGACTCCAAAGACAGACCCTTCCTGATTGCTGTCACACTTTCTTGCTCCTGTAATTACTACTTCTCCTGTTTCTTTCATCATTTCTTCAGAAAGTAACTGAAGCCTCCTGCTGCGCCTCACTTGTCTTTGCTCAGAATCAGCTTTTTTTGGTTCTTCACTGCTTGGATAACTATCAATCTGAGGCTCAGAGGGATCAGGGGAAACTAAGTTTCTATCCACTACTAATTGTAGGGCACCCTTGGTTCTAGAACGCTTGCATCTTTTTGCTGCAGAACTACTTTTTTTAGTGCTTTTCTGATGAAAGTTACTCAGTTCTAGCTCCCCATCACAGTGCTTGCCAGTCACCTTTTCAGCAGCTTTTTTCCACATGGATCCTCGTCCTTCCTCAAGTTCCACTTGGGCATTATCCTCTCTGTTCTCAGCGAGGTGACTCTCACCAGCAGCAGGACTTCCATCACATCTTTTCCTTTCAGCATCTTCAAGGCACCAGTCAACACTCGGAGGGCACCCACCTGCATCTTCTACATCTTTTTTCTGAATGAAATCCTCAGGTTGCAGGACACAGGCAGTCTTCCTTTTTCGTTTTAGTCTGCTGGAATCATTCAAACACTTCTCGTCAGCAGCCACATATTCCTTTTTTGTAGTAGGTAAAATGTCTCTCAAGGTAACAGGGGGATTTGATTTTCTCTCTCTCTTATATGTTTTCCCAAATATTTTGTCTTTGATGCTGTCTATTGTTTGTTTTGACTGTTTCTCGTTTCCTTCAACCACTGCAATTTCCATGGAATCTACCATAGGGTCAGTCTTTTCTGAAACACAGGAATCTTTATCTGATAAACACGTATCTCCTTCACCTGAAGCATCAGATGATCCAGCAGAATCATCCTGGGAAGAATTGGAAGACAGAATCTTGTTGCTTTTTGAGAACCATTCATTGACTTTCTGAATGCTTCGCTTCAGTCTCTTCCTAGAGACTGGATTCTGGGTAACAGAGTGAAGTGTTTCTGGCTGACACAGTTTCTCCAGGGGAAGTTCTTTTTCATGGACAGAATCGTTCTCGGGTTCATACATTTCAACAGCTTCCATACTTTGGTCAACAATATCGATTTCCTTGCTTTTATCCAACCTGCTCTCTGAGCTACCTTTTAAGTCAAACTCTTTGCTTTTACTACTGCACTGAGTTTGCTCTTCGTCCATTTCTTCTGTGTGCTTAAAGACAGACATGTCCCCATTGCTTGAGGGACTGGCATCCCCTGTTCTGTCACACTGCTCTGCGAGCAGGTCCACAGCAAGAACGTTTGAAGGAGAACTCTGGTGTTTGCTCATACCCACTTGGCCAGGTTTGGCATATTCAGTGACGCTCCAAGTGCTTTTCTTGCTCAAGCCTTCCTTTGAGAAATCACTTTCACCTGGAGATTTATAGGTATTATAAATTATTAAGCCCTATTTCACATGCACAAGAACAATGATAAATCTAATGATACTTTTTCCCCCCCCCAAACCAGAATGTTACACTGCACAAATCTCCCTCTAGAGAAAGGGAGAAAGAGCAAATTACAGATGACACGTTCACCCAGCTTCTTACATGAATTATCAGACAGAGCTCTCAACTTGTATTATAAGGGATAACATGGCTTATGTAAAACATAATAAGTTTTGCACTTTGACGAAGTTACTTAAAATGTGGATATTTGTTGCACAGGAACAGAAGGGTACCACCTTCTGGGTAACAGAAGGGTACCAGTACCAGCTGGTCCACAGGTACAGTCTTGTATTATACTGACACTAGCTTTAGGCAGAAACAAAACTACAATATACAGGACTGCAAATATATACATTTAATCACGTGAAATCAAAACGTGAAGTTGTGGTCTTTCTTCCAAGCTTAATCATTTTTGTCACCAAAATAAGAAACACACCTCCAACATTGGGTAGAATTCCTTCTTTAGCACCCAGCTTGCCAGGCTGTGCACTGCAAGAATACTCATCCCTCTTCTCAGCACTCTGGAGCTGTTCCAGCTTTTCTTGAGACGAAACCTGAAGTGCTGTTTTGTTTTCTAACCTGTTGGGACGGGAAATCTACTTTCATTACAGAGAAAACCACAACAGACATAATAGAAGATGATACTTCATTTTCCCTTTTTGCTCTCTGACATTGTTTTTGGAGAAGTCAGGCTGCATCACTGACACTCGCCCCATTTAGATCCCTTGAGTTTCAGGCCATTTCTTTAAAAGATCCCCTCCCACATTCCTGAATTTAACATTAATTTTCTAAAGCATAGTACATGCTTTTCTCTTGAAGATCTAATGTCTGTGTAAGCAATAAAACATTTAGAAAGCAGCCTATTATACAACAAACTGATGGGAGTCAGCTACCCATTCTACCCTGACACCCCCAAAGCTGAAAATCACTTGTTAGCTTGAAAAATTCTGAGTCCTATGATAAGAGACTAAACGATAGGAATGAGAATAGCAAACTCTTGTCTTTAGAAAAATATGAATTCCTTAATCACCTTTACTTACCCAGTATTGCTTGCCTGTTTAAAAATCTCTTCAGATGAATCAGAACCTAAAACCAAACCAGCTGTTACTCTGGTTGAAATGATTTAGAGGAAGATGACTTGCCAGATTCAGTGTTTATTATCACAGAAGCATTCATGCTTAGTCTTTTCCAGGGGTAAATGTTTACAACTTTTATCAGATTAAATGAATTCCAATTGTGCAGTATTTTATGTAGTTACAATGATTTCTACATGGCTCCAGCATAAAATTCTGTTTAAATACAGTGACTGGTAACAGAGAGCTACTGCAAGTTAGTTTCTAATTTCTAAATTTGTACATGAAACAGCTGCTAGTATTTAGAATTTTGAACTGGAAGTCAGAGAAAAATATTCAAATATCTGTCCCAGATTCTATGACTGATCTTGGCAGACACAATACAGAAAATGGAGAGGCACTGAACACTATCTGTTAAAAGGAGCAATTTCTTCCTTAAAGAAACAGGGAGAAAATAAACTATTCACAGTATCTATCTTGTTTCTCACAACAGTCAGCACTAGATAAAGAGGGAGTTGTGAAAAGCTAGCATAGAGAGAAATTAAATATTCTTTTCCCAAATAGATTTCATTCTTATCTCTGGTTATTAACTAGAGCCTCAAGCACTGATGACAAGGCTTAATATTCTTTAGAAAACAGCAGTTATCATTAGCTATAACTTTTTTCACATCTGTAAGCATCTTGTCTTCTTTGGATCTTGTACCCTGAGGCTTAAAGGTTTACTACAGCGGTGTCATTTCCTACAACCTAATAAATTATGTAAAAACCCCTTTGATTTACCAACTTCAAATTGTTTATCATTTGTCCCTTTGTTCCCATTTTGGGGAAGTTAGTGTTTATAAAGACTGTGAACTTCAGCACCTTTCATTACTTTGCAAGCATTATACATAAGCTCAACCAGTGTGGATCTACTGCAAACCTTACCAAATTCTATATAAATCCCTTTTTCAGAGTCACATTTCTGGGGTTTGTTTCTCAGGGAACACCTTCTGACCCTGGTATCTGCAAGCTGTGTATCCACATTAGCTTCCTGCTGACAGGAGAACACAAAGCAATAGTTATTTATAACAGTAGGTTATTTCCCAAAAATAAGTAGCAATTACTTAAACTACAGCAGGGGGTTCAGGTCCTTTTACACAAAACCTTTGAAAGTAGCACAGGAAAACAAATTGAATTTAATGTTCTTTTCTGGAGTAATATTCAAGTCAAGCAGTAATCTGAAAGCAACCCAAATTCTCCTATTCCATTCATTTATGCACATACATGCACACACATTCCAAATAAAACACTAAACAATGCACAGAAATAATTTGGGGGGGAGGGAGGAAATAAATACCAAGGTGCAGTTTTCTTGTCCATTTTCTTTAGCACTTTTTTTCCTGTTTCTGAAGCCCTTACTTTGGATGACAGAATTTTCCTTACACGGGAGCTCAGCAGCAGTGGCTTCTGTGGATGTTTTAGGAAAGTGATGACAATTTAAAACTGGAAAACATCAATAGGAGGAAAAAAAGCAAAAATATTTTCTTACACTGAGCATGACAACAGGTATTATGTATTAATCAAACAGCCTTGCATAGACCCAATGCAACTAGCACATATACAGCTAAAATACAATTATCAAAGAAAAATCTGATTGAATTATTAGTCTAGATGTTCTTTGTGAGTACTCTTCAAGTACTAAGCAAAATCTTGATCTTGCCAACTAATTTTTCCAATCAATTTTGCTTATATGGATCATTTAACAAGAACAAGATCTAATACTAGTGATTTTAGAATGATTGAACAAGTTGAAAAACATTTGAAAAGAAAATCTATTTTTTATAGCACAATATATCAAAAGAAAACCACAAACCAAAATCCACAAACCACCACCTGCCCACAACAATATTTTGTTTCCCAAAATAGAGACAACAATCTAATTTTAAAAAAGTGGGGATATACATTCACAACACTTACACTTTACTCCAGTGTCAAGCTCAAATGCATGGATAGTTTCCAACAATCCTTCAATTAGTTGCTTGAATCTGGAATTTTCTTTCAGACTTCTGAAATAACATCACCACATGAATTGTTTTAAGACAAACTATTAACAGTTATCCTGGAATTTATGCTGAACAAAAAAAGGAATAAAACTCCAAAGTCGAAGATGAGACAATGAGGAATTGTTGCCAAGGAATAACACCACAATTTCCCAAAACAGTCATTACTATGGAAATTAAACCTATCACAAAGTGAAAAAATAATATTTTTCCTTCTGTAGGTTTAGCACAGATAATCCAGCTGTAACAACTGAACAATAACACAGTCTATACTTGATAGCACAAACATTTGTTGAGGATTGTGTCTTTACCTGCAATCCCTCAAAAAAAGTTTATATTGATGTAAAACACTAAAGCATTACTCTTTTACAAAGTGACAGTCTACTTAATAAAAACATTTTCTTCTTTTAGTCTTCTGCCAAGACACTTTTGAGACAATGATTAACTTTGTCTTAGATTTCAAACTTCTCAAAATTCAAATGTACATTACCTCTTGGTAACTTCAGTCTTACACAGAGGACACTGGGTCACACCTTTTTTCTTTTTGCTGAGGAGTTTGAACATGCAGAACCTAGGACAAAACAATAATCACAGCGGGAACAAAAAAGATTTTATTTTCTTTAAATCTGCCCCATGGCCTTCAGTAGAAAAAACTACGTTACCAAGTTGAATGCCTGTATTCTTGTTCTGGTGTTACAATGAATTAATCAATCCCCTTTGACACAACTGTGAAACTGCTGTTATTTCTTATTCAGAATTAATTTTTCCCCTGATATAGTTACACATTAAGTTATCAAAACACAGTATACATCACTAGCACTAAAGAGAAGTAGTACACATGGACAGTACGAAAGACTAAGCATTACAATTATGAATTTCCAAACTTACCTACAGAATGTGTGATCACATTTTGTTGAAACTGGCTCTTTTACCACATCCAAGCTACAAAAAGAAAAATGAAGGAAAACAAGAACACAGAGGTTTCATATAAAATAGGAGCAACAAAGTAAGATTCAGAAATACAGTCACCTTTCTGAACTTAAAAAAAAATCTTGGTGGGGAAGAGAAGTAGGACACATTTGACAATTTTTCACTTGAGAACCAGGTACAGTATCAAATAGGATCATTATGTGATAGATACATATCTACTGGCTCTTCACAATCTTTGTCTGCCTCTGGCAAAAAGCATTTCCTGGAAATGCCAGCTCAGCAGGGCAGGTTTTAACTAGAATCTATGCTGTTTCAGCATTTGTTTGCGTTAAAAAACTACAGACCTCACTTACATTTTAGAAACAAAGCATAAAGATCCAGGCTGCTTTACAAACACTCTAATCCAGCAGCTACATTTTTCTTAACTGGATCAAGGACTGACACATTTAGGTTGTACTAGTAAATTTTATTTTTCTACAATGTAAAAGCAAAATACAGATATTTTCTCACTTGAGCCTTACAAAACATCAACATACCTAGCCTTAAAATGCAATTATTTTTGCTTTCTGATAACCCATAGAACTGACAAAGCATTTGAAAAGAAATTAAGAGAAAAACAACTGCTATACTAATACTGAGCACTCGTTCATCTCCCAGCATACCAGATTGGGCACTCTAGGTTCTTCAGCATGGCCGAAAGCACCCCCTGTACCTCTCCGGCAGCCGTCAGCGAGAACTCCATCCTTCACACCCAAAGGGACTCTAGAGAAAGAGAAAAAAAGGAAGAAAAAGCAATCTTTCCTGTTCCTGCTCTGTTCCATCCCATGGCCTCGCCTCCTCCTGAGAGGCTCCTCTAGAGCCCGCTGACGGCGGCGCTGCCCCCCCTCCGTGCGCGGACAGACGCCCCCCGCCGAGTCCCTGAGGCCAAAGGGGCGGACTGGAAGGGTCACAGGAGCAACCGGAGGAAACTCAGCGAGGGCGCAACAGCAGCGGGAAATGGCGCGGAGAGACTCGCGCCGAGAGGGCCCTGGCGGCCCCGCGCACCCACCGGCGCGGGGAAATCCCGCAGCGACCGTGGCAAACAAGGAGAACCCCTCTCACCTTTCCGCGGCGGCAGCAGCTCGGGCGCAGGGTCAGGACGGAGCGGCCCAGGCCCAGGCCTCGGCCCCGGCCCGTCTCCCTCAGGGCCAGCCCGCCGCCATCGCATTTCGCGCCTTTGCCATCGCCCCCGGAAGGCGCGCGCCCAACAGCCAATCGCAGGCCCCAGAAGCGTCCTCTAATCAGCTCCCTCCTATCACGTGACGCTCCGCCCCCGCCGCGGCGTGGTGGGGCAGGAAACAGCACAGCTGATTGGCTCTGCTGTTACCGCGTGACCCCACCGCACGTGTTGCGTCAGAGTCGAAGGGGCCGGCGCTGGCGCATTGTGGGAGCGGCCGGCGCAGCTGCGGAAGTGCGTGTCTGCGGGCGGCGCGCGGCGCGCCCCCGCGTGCGCGCTCCCCGGTCTGTTTGTTGTTGTGGTTCCACAGCGCCTGGCCCCGCCCCCGGCGGCCAATCAGAGCGGTGGAGCGGGTGAGTGGCAGGCGGGGCTGCCAATAGTGTCGCGCGGAGGGCGCGGGGCCGGCCCGGCTCGGGGCCGCCATGTTAGGCTCGTCGGGCCGGCTGACAGGGCTCCCCTCGCCTCCCCGGGAGCGCGGTATGGAGCCGCAGGTGAATCTCCGCGTCACCTGCCGCGGGGAGACCCAGAGCTTCTTGGTGTCAGACTCGGCGCACACGACGTGGGCGGACGTGGAGGCCATGGTGAGTGCGGCCGCAGCCGCGGGGGGCTGTCGCGGTGAAGCGCTGGGAGCGTAAGCGCCTCTCTGAGGGCCCGGCATCTTCTCTCTCTGCTTCCTAAGCTGTGTCTCCTGTCTCACAGGCTGTTAGAGCTGCTGTTTTATTCTGCTGCGGCCTCAGTTTTGCTCTTAGCGTTGACGGTGGCTTTTACCCCTGTTATATGCTTAGTATGGAATGAGAAGCTGTTTTGGATAAAGCTTCTTATAGGTCGTTTGTTTTTCTGTGTGAGCAAGCGGCCTTAGTGTGTGCTTTGCCCTTTCTGGCAGTTGTAGATACTTGATTTTGGCACTTCTGTAAAGCGCAGTCTGTGCCTCTTGTCTGCCATTCTGGACTCTCTGAAGTGTATATGGTGAAGTCACACACTTCTGGTGCTTATGGAGTGTTTTCCTGAAGGCTAATCTTTGCTCCCTGTGATGCTGAATCACTGACATACGTCTTTGATTTCTTTCTTCCTGATGCCTTGTGTGTGCTAGTTGGGATATAACTGGATTTGTTAGTGGGCCATAAACGGGCCATAAGCAGCATAGACGGCTGCTTATGGGGGGGTGTGTGTATCTTGTGCTTGATATATTTGAAGACGGTTTGTTTGAATGTTTATTTCCAGTGCTATTTAGTGCAAATTCCTGGTTTAGCTGAGGTTGAAATTGTGTAGTAAGGATTTTTTTGGCTATGATGAAGCTGCAGTGATTTTTTTATATTTTTTAATTTAGTAGCAGCTGTTCTGGTTTGTGTGTTTTGTTGGTTTGTTTTTTTTTTTTTAAGTTTGCTCTCAAAGTTGCATCTTAAGAGATCTTTCAAGTATTTTATTTTCTCTCTTTCAGTTCTTTTTTTAGCTAACACATTCCCTAGTGTACCTTGTAGGAGGTTCCTGCATTGTGAATTACTCAAATTCAAAGTTTGAAGTGCATCATTTTAGCTCATTGTATTTTGTTCTTCTGGAAGAGGGGCTAGTTCAGGCTTAAAACGCTTGCTGACATGTGGACCCTGCAGGAATGTCTGAACTACTCAGAATCCTGCTTGCATCAAAGCTGAAAGCAGATTGCTATGTAAGCACGGTGTTGCCCTTAATCCTCAGTAGTCTGAGAGCAAGGGTGTGTTTGTTCAAGGTGTGGTGTTCCATTACAAAAATGTTTCTCTAACCAAGGTAGTACCACTGGCTGTCTCTGCATTAGGTTATGTGAATATCAGTTAAACTGAGTCTTTCCTATGTTTTAATATATTATTAAATGTGTCTGATGTCTATAAGGCATAACACAATCTCTGGTTCTGGCTTGAGTTTTACGGGAACAATCTGTGGTACTAGGTGATGTAGATACAGATCACAGCTTCCCCTTGACAAACTGAGTTGGTTCTCTTGCTGAACTTCACAAATTAATTTGGGATATATCACTGGAAGGACTTGCCTGTTGCACGTTCATTACAGGATGTATGTTACTATGTCGTTGTGCTCTTACGGTGCTGTGTAAGTTTCTGTTGAGAAAAATACAGTGTGTGTAGGTAAATGATGCAAAAAAAAATGCACTGAGCAGCAAAGACTGTTGTTACTCAACACAGGGCAGCAACCACCATCATTTATGGTTAATTTGATGCTGTTCTTTCTACCCTGTTAAGGCAAAATGCAAAATAGCTGCTCAGCTTTATTCTCCAAATTCTGATCTATGTAATGGATTTATGTGTTCTGATGTACAGTGAGCAGTAGAATGAGATACTTTGCTCTTTTTAGTACTTGAATTAATCCTAGTTTCTCAAAATACAAGGAGGTTTGTGGGGAAAAAGGCTAATCACCCGTGTGAGCTGTCTCCCTTGTGCTTTATAACTAGAAGGTAGCATTTGGTGATTGTTGGCTTTAGCCTTTGTATGTTGCAGTGTTTACCATGCCTGAGTTCATTAACCCTGAACTAGTCCTCTTATAATGGAAAGGTTATTATTATTTATTTTGGGGTAAACATTAAATAGGGGCCGTGAAACATTAAAGCAACACATTTTTTTCTTTTCATTACAGAAAGTTAGCAAAGGTTGGAGGCAAGGCACTGGGGAGAGTTGTTCAACTTCAGAAGAATGAGTTTTGTAAAACAGGTTTTTTTTTTCAGCTGAGGGACCAGAGGGAGGGGCAGAAGGGTTAAAACATTATCCTGACTAATAATCATGATTAACTGCCAACATCTGTAGTCCTGTCTCATTGTGCTCGTGTGTTCTTTTTGCCTTGCAGGTTAAGGTTTCGTTTGACCTGGACAATATTCAGATCAAATACATTGATGAGGATAATGATGAGGTAAAATATCCCCTTCCCTCCAATATGTCTGGTGTGAACCTTTCTGCTGCTTGGTAATTTGTAGTGGGTCCTTCAGGAGTGTCTGTTGTGTGGATTGGAGGCCCCTTCGATAAGAAAATAGCTAGTCTTGTGATTTTACTCTTAATGTGGCATGCTTATTTTAAAATATTCTAGGAGCTACTGCCTTTCTTTTCACCACCCTATAAAAATAGCCAGTGGCTCTGTGTGCTCTGAGGTCGGGATGCTTCTGTTGAGGGATTTCTTATTCTTCATTTTATCAGGATTAGGTAGTTGTAACTATTTGTGTTTGCAGCCATGGTAAAGCCCTGTTTCTTCAATCTACGCTCCTTCCTCTGAAAAATGTAGATCCCCTGTCATTAGCACGTATTTACTTCAGTGGTCTGGTGTACTCAAATCCTCTGCTTGTTTTATGCAAATGCTATAATCTCCAAGCAGATTACTGACTTAGAAAACAAATTAGTTACTTCTAGTTGTGCTTGTTGAGTAACTTCCTGCTTGGCATAACCTCACACTCATATTCTTTCTATTTATCTAGAGATTTGGAGCAGAATGTAGTTCTCAAACAGAACGTAACATTTGCAAACTCTGTGTTCCACTACTTGATTTGTAGCTCTACTAAATTGCAGAGAAGGGGATCTTTGAGTGTTTGTTGGGTTTTGTTTTTTTTTTCCTTTATGGGGAAATGTCAAGATGCTTCCACCAACATTATGAGAGAGACTCTCCTCTTATTTTCCAGCCTGTATCTATAGAAATTTGTAGATGCATCCATTAGAAGTCTTTTTCAAATACTAACAGAGTGGGCATTGTTCAGAATCATGCAGTGCTGTAGTGATTAAGTAGCTTCTTGTATTAGTAAGTTTTACATGCAGAATTTATAAATGAGCACCTGTGGATGATGGGCTTGGCTTGTATCTAAATCAAAAAAAGTAGTTAAGTGTTTCATGTTGGGCATTAAGAGCAACTGGGTCCAACCTCTGTGTACTTGTGGAGCAAACCCAGCAGTACTGGCACCGGGTGACTTCCAGTAGATGAGACCACACTTGTTCTGGATGCTGGTGGGTGCCAGAGACCTTGCTTGTTGTGCAAACCTAATAAAGAACACCACAACACTGACTAATGATTAAACAAGGCAGCAATAGCAAATATCTGAAGGAGTGGCATTTTGGAAACTCTGGATAAAAGTACAGTTATTCTGAAAGTGTGTTAATTTTAAGAGAACCACACAAATAGATTGGTGGCTGTTACTCACTACTGTTTCTCTTTGCAGGTCTCTGTGAATAGCAAAGGTGAGCTGCTACTTTACTGAAGTGAAATCACTAAAGAGACCCCAGCTGTTGTTCAAGTTTTTGGAAAAGCAGTTGAAAATGCTTACTTTTTGATTTTTTGGATTTCATACATGGTTGGGTATCAAATTCTTCTCAAAGGAAGGAGGTTTTGATCTATAGGAACAAATTGGAAATTACTAAATTAATGGAATGTTAAGTCTCTAGGCTGTGAAAACATTTGCTTGTGCTGTATATACAACTTCCTTCAGTAGCACTGTTTTAAATGACTTTACTGAAGTTATGGGAGACACTCCTTAATGTAAGGGTCCCTCAATACTGTGTGCTAAATTTACATCTGTTGCTTGAGATGGGGAAAATTCACATTTCTTTTCCTTTTTCTTTAGAGGAATATGAAGAAGCTCTGAAGGTAAATGCACTCTTTGACTTACTTCAATCTATTCACCCTTCTTCAATTAAATTCAGTGTAGCTGAGAAAAAAAAGCAGCATTACGTGTCCCATGGAAGTCTGGATGGCTCAGTTAATAGCTTTGGATGCTACCTGGAATGTTTTGCTACAACTTTTTTCCATCCAGGCTAATCTTGATTTGTATAAATGACTTGAATAGGCAGTTGTAGGTTCAGGGCCCTGAGCAGCCAGTTCATTGGTTAAATGTCTGTCTTTCTCAAATCCTATGATTGGGGATAGGGGGCTCTAGTGTGATCCTTTAAAAATCTTGCCATGTAGACTCTAATGTTGTACTCTCTGGCAATAAAACTTTAATTGGTATCAATGCTTAATTACTTCATAAGCAGTTGGGTTTGCTTAGACAAAATAAGAATTGTGTTCCTTTAAATTTCAGTTGCAAAGTACCAATGCTTTCTGAACTTTTTGCTCATGGTCTGAATTTCAAATTTGATAACAATTTGAAAATAGTAACAAATTGAAATTTTCTGTAAGTTTCTGGACAGAATCTATGTTGTTTACTGGCTCATATGAGCAGCTTTATTGCAGATTGAAAAAATTCTGCAGAATATCTGGATAATTAACCTTTTGCTGTTAGTAAGCTTTCTAATAAGCATATTGGTAACCTTTAAGAAAGACAGAATAGACTATCAGCTGACTGTACCTTGGCATTTCTCTCAGTTTTTCTTTTTGTGTGTGTTAGTATTTCCCCAACCTCTCCAGTTTAGTGCTGTATTTTTACAGGATTTTGTATGTTGGTTTCAAGTGAAGTAAATACGTATCTATGTATGTACTGTTTGTTTAGATTGCAGTTAAACAAGGAAATCAACTTCAGATGAATGTGTATGAAGAAAACTCTTCTCTGAAAGAAACTTTGAATTCTTGTTCCTCGCAACTACGTGAAAAAATGGTGACAGAAAAGTTAGCGCTTCTTAAAGATGAGAAGAAACCTCTTTCGCGCTACTCGATGCTAGCTCAGGGGTTAGAGGAAGACTTAAAAAATGAAATGGAGCTGACAATGCAGGTAGGATGCAGAAATTGATTATATATTCATTAAAACAAAGAGTTCATAAGTGTAATTCACTTTATTCATCATCTTTAGCCTTACATAAAAGCTCAGTTTAGAAGTCGGTCTTCATTTTCAGCTACTTGCACCCATTGAAGCTTGTAAAATTGTGTGAATGTCTTCAAGAGGACATTTTGATGCTACATTTAGAAATACAGATTCTTTCATGTTGACCATTCTTAAGTATTGGTCTCCTGAAGGCCTGATTGCCATCTAGTAACTTCTAGTTGACTTAATTTCTTTGGCTTTGATGTGTAATTACACTCAAATGCTAATAATGCAGAAATCTTTCATGAAAATGTCAGTGACTTCCTTGTGTTGCTTTTCCACTGTTTTCCAAAGAACTTGAGTATATTTTTTTTTCATAAAGGCACTCGAGGGGAGAGCTATTTGAAAGTGGTTGACTTGCTGTATCGAGGTGTTTTGCAGGTTTGCACACTTAAGGTTTGTGACTTATGTTTGTGGTGTGGTTTTTTGTTTGGTTTGTTTGTTTTTCCCACAGCAAAAGTTAAATCTCACTAGAACAGGAAGAACAAATGAAAATCCTCCCGAATGGTTTACTAGCTACTTGGAAACAGTAAGTACGTTTTCTTCTGTATTTCAATATTCTTAAAGAAATATATAAGAAGCTGTGGGTGGAAAAGATACCTGTGATGCCTAACTCTGTACATCTGACCACCCTTGCTCTTGGAACTTGTGACCAAGATCTTAAAGCGCATTTAGGCATCTAATGGCTTTGCTTTTGTAATGATAAATGGAAACTAGATATCTATGAATGTACAGGGAACTTAATGGTTGTGTGTAAAACATCCCTGGTGGACAAAATCAGGACTTAATGGTAGAGACTCCACAGGGATTTTTTAGGAGTTGTGTTAATTGCCTCAGAGATTAATTTCTTTACCCTTATGCATGGTTGTGGAAGAAGTTTGATATTATAAACATGAATCTATGATTTTTAATTTTCCTTGTTAAAACCAATGGGCTGGTATTCTCTAAAATACAAATCCTCTTAGAGGAATGTGATACTTGTTTAGTTTAATCTGGAATATGCTGAGGGGATGGGAAGTGGATTCTGAGCTTCATTATGATTTATAGATTGGGAGACTTGGGATGAGTAATTGAACTTTTGAAGCCACGTGAGTCAGTGTCATCCATGACTGCTTTAATTTTTTTCCAGTTCAGGGAACAAGTAGTTAAGGAAACTGTTGAGAAACTGGAACAGAAGCTGTACGAAAAGCTTGTTCATCAGAATCGGCCTCCAGATTTTTCCGAGAGCTCTATTACAGCAGGACCTCCACCTTCAGAGGGCCAGTCAGTGACTGGAAACCAGTGTGACTGGCTGATCTCCTGCTGCAACTGCCAGGCCCGAATTGTTGGAGTTCGCTACCAGTGCAGGTAGTGTGTGCTGAGAGCTGGGAGTGTGGGGAAACCCCATGTGTAGGGCATGGGAAAGAGTCTGAGAAACTATCTCGATGTCCTAGACTTGTAGATGTCTGATCTGCAGCATGCTGTACGTTTCAGAACCTCCACACGTGTCTCACAAACAGCTTGTGTTCTTGGCAGTGGGGAGTAGACCTTATCTGCATAAGAGCAGGATTAATGCTATTTTGAGAAAGTGTGATTGTTAAAACAGAGTGAGAGAACTTTGCTGCACTTGCTATTTTCTCAAACACTTTTTATCTTTTTTGCATATAGTATGCAATAACTGTAAAGGGAAATGTCTCCATTCAGTTAACTAAACAAAAAAGCAAAACTTACAACCACCAGTCTGTTATAGTCCTTTAGTCCTGACAGTCAATGAGACTAAGGCAGGTCATGCTTTTTTTTTTTATTATCTTACTGTTGTCAGTTTAATAATATGAAATAGGTTTTGATGAGTGTCTCAAATGAGGTGTCAAAAGTGAGGGTTTTATTTGAATGAGGCAACTGATGCAAAGGTAAGTATTTTGGGACTAGGCAGCAGCAGTGAATGTAATGCCAACAGGGGTTTTTCTTTGGATGTTTCGTTTTCTTGCTGGCAGGAGCTGCCAGTCTGTTTTTTACCAGCCCTGTTCCTGCAGGAGCAATCTGCTTTGCATCCCTGAGTACTTCAGTTGACTTATCCTCTGTATTTTCAGAAGTATGCTTTCATGAGATGCTGTTTCTGGCATTGGTTTTCAGTATAATATTTTATCCTTTATAGCAACAATTGTTAGTCACTTGTGCTACAGGAAGCACCAGGTTTTTTCAATGTGTGTTCAAGAAGGAAGTGAGAACTGCGTTGCAGTTTTGCCAAGAAGAGAGATACTGATCTAGATATTCCAGATGGCTCCAAATCCTGATGTATAAGTGAGAGGACCAGCTTCTGTTTCACTCAGGCACTGCTTACAATGGTAGCATGAGACAGAGTTGTTTCTGTGCAGAGATGCAAGGATTAATGAACCTTCAGTGGCTTTTTCTAGTGCATTATTTCTTTGCCTGCTTTGCAGCCTTTGTCCAGCCTACAATATCTGTGAACAGTGTGAAGCAGGAACATATGCACATGATGTTAATCACGTCTTGTTGAAGCTGCGGAGGCCTGTGCTGTGTGTTGCTGAGAACTACAGCCTGGCAGAATTCTCCCCTCGCCTGCCTGCTACTCTGGAGCAAGTTAGGTAAGTGGTGACATCTGTCAGTACCTGACAGGATTATCCTGATAGCAAAGTGGCAACACCTGCATTGGGGTTGATGTTCAGCTTTTATTTTAGTTTTAGAGATAACAAGAAACGGAAATGGTACTCAAACTTTATTGCAAGTAGCTAAAAATAGCTATATACCCATAAGTGGCATAAGTCATGAATCTTACAGCATTTTTAATAACAAAGTAGAAGAGACAGAATTTTGTGTCCTAGATAGGTAGCAAACTTTGAGAGCTTGCTTTTTCTTTGAGCATACCCTAATCTGCCTTTAAGTTTGCTCTTTCACTGAGACCATTCAAAATATCCTCACAAGCAACTAAAAGGTGTTCTTTTAAAATCATCTGTTTTTCAGTTTAAAAGTGTGAGAGTACCAGGAGGGTTCCTTTTGAGACTAAGACTGTGTTGGCTAAAGCTGAATTCTAATCAACTTAATATATTGTAGCAAGGTGGCTTATTCTCTCTGCAGGCTTCAGAAACAGATGGACAAAAGATTTCTGAAGGCAGAAAAGCAAAGATTACGAGCAGAGAAGAAACAGCGAAAGGCAGAGGTCCGGGAGCTCAAAAAGCAGCTAAAACTGCACAGGAAAATTCATCTGTGGAACTCTGTCAATGTGTTGGAAACTAGTGGCTCACCAACTCTGAAATCTGAGAGTCTCCAGCCGAATACCTTCACGTAAGAGATGTTGTTTGTTGAGTGCTCCTTAGTTGTGCTGTCTGTCCTTTGCTGTGGGCTGAGTTAAATTAACAGCAGGAAGGTTATTAAATAGCTCATTTAAAGTATCATTTGTCATTGGACCCCGTGAGGATTTTGTCTAAATGAAACTTGGAAAGTGGAGGTTTTTTTGGAGGAGAGTAGGAGAAGAAAAAAGAGACTGATGGTTATTACCAGAAACAGAGATTTATGTAGATTAGGAGGAAGGGGACTGCCAAGGATTTACATATATACATGCACATGCATACAGTGTAAATTAACGTCACTGCCAGCTTTAAAAAAAGCCTGTGTCCTCCTGCTCTATGAAGTGTCTCTGCATAACGTCAAGTACATCTGGGTGCTTACATTCAGTGCTCTTTTTTTTTTTTTTTTTTTTTTTTTTTTTTTTAAAAAAAAAAAAAAAAAAAAAAAAAAAAAAAAAAAAAAAAAAAGTTCTAGGAAAAATATTAAACCC